CGAAAGAAGAGGAGCGGCTCGCAACCTGGCGGATTGGGGGGGGGGACTCCAAGGAACTTCCCGGAGAAGAACCGTTGCACGGTTCAAAGGAACAAAGAGTGTGCGTGAAATTTTGCTTTCTGTTAGGGAAAACTGCACTTCACTATTCAAGTCGCGGCAAACATTCACGTGGTTTTCTCTTTGGTCATCTCCGAGCAAGCAAGGAACAAATTTTGCAGACACCCGTCTCATGTGCAAACCTTCGGTTAAAATTCGCTGGACCGTGCTCCATGAGATGTTCGTTTCCTCAGAAAGTTGGTCAATGGTCTTTCGACGATCTTCGTCAATTTCACGCACACTCTATGTTCCTTCTGGTCGGCCATCTCACTAATCGCCAAAGGGTTGAAACAGGAACACACACAACACAGCACCACAGACAAACCACTTAACTCAGACTGACGCCAGCTCACTAACAGTCGCAGGAGACCCCCAGCTAACACCACCTAGCAGCACAACTCGTAACTACAAAACATGCGCGCGCAACAGGTCATTTCCGGTTATTTTTCGGTCCCCCCTCATATATGAAGTAAGATCTAATTATTTTAGCATATTTTCTAGTTCTAACAGTGTTGGGACAAGCAGTAACAATTGGAAAGCTGTCCCTGCATCTAAGCACTACATCACATAAATGTATATAGGTACAGAGAGAACCACACAAAAGGAACAACAGGAAGACTGGGCACTCCATATGAGATACAATATAACACACAAAATAGTTCCACCATAATCACTCAAACCGTAATATATGATGACGCAGAAGATCACCACACAATATTAGACTAAGAAATTGGAAAGAACAATTCCGACCCCCAGGAAGGCTCCATACATCATACATCATTTTACAAATAAACAGAAGAACTTCAATTTTAAATTATAATGATAATATTATTTAATTTTAAATGGAATAACATGCCAAATGCAGCCACTGGAAACCAACCAACCAATTTTAATTTCATTATGCTAATTAAAAAAAAACAAAGCCGACCCCCCAAGAAAGCCACATACTATATGACATACACCATTATGCCACCGAAAATAATCAGAAGAATTGCAATGTTAACTGGAATTTAATTAACAAAATGTAAATTTTTATAATTTAAATTTCCCTCCTAACATTTTCTGCCATCATTTCCTTTTACCCCAATGACATACATCAAACTGAGTACAGCTTCATGTGTTCTCACAGGAGCATACACACACTTATATGTGACATATTATAAACATTAATGTTTATCATCCTTTATATGTGACTTCCATAAAACTAGAAGACAAATGTATGAAAACTCAGGTTTTGATTCCTATCCTTCCATTGTCAGAGATGAACATCAGACTTCAATCCTTCTTGGTACAATTATTAGTATGTGAATTGAATAAAAATATAATTTGGTTTCATTTTAGTACATATGACCACATCTGTGGTCTAGTGGTCAGAGTTCCTGGCTACAGATCCAGAGGTCCTGGGTTCATTTCCCAGAGCTACCAGATTTTCTGAGAAACAGTGGGTCTGAAATGGGGTCCACTCAGCCTCGTGAGGATAACTGAAGAGCTATTTCAAGGAAATAGCAGCTCCGGTCTAGAAAACCGAAATTAACGCCCTTTGGGATCCTCTACACTGACCATGCGACACCCTCTATCCATAAAAGTTGATACTAACTTCACCGAAAAGCGGCAAACACTCAGTCATTATACTTCAGATGCGACTACAGGCCATGGAGTTTTTCTAAGTACAAAGCTGCTTAAAGTCCCAGTAAATAAATTTTCAGTGAAATCCCCACCTTATGTTTTCCCTGTCAGAAAATGGTTCTAACCATTATACAGGGATACTATAAATGATTCATTCGTTTTTAAAATGCTATAGCATTACACGTACAAATATGATTGATATATAAAAAGAACCATAAACTCACCAAGTTTGTATTGTGTGCACCAGTTGGCAGCACGAGTTCAGCACCTTTACAAAATGGCAACAAAGCAAGAAAAGAGTTTTTGTTTGTTGGAATATGCGAGATGTTAGTCTGTTATAGCAGTGCAATGCACATTCAGTTATGGTTGTTTCCACAACTGCCTGCTGATTCTGGGGATTTTGTCTTCCAAAAAGACGGGGCACACCCTCATTGGAACATCAATGTTCGTCGCTACCTAAACAGTGAACTTCGGCATCGCTGGATTGGGCGTGTTGGTGAAGATTACGTAGATCTGTTCACTTGGCCCCCCAGATCACCTGATCTAACACCTTGTGACTTCTTCCTTTGGGGGTACATTAAGGATTGTCTTTACATACCCGCACTGCCAAGAACACTAGCAGAGCTGAGGGAACGCATCGATGCTGCAGTGATGACCATTGACAGGATGATGCTACAAAATGTGTGGAACGAGCTCGACTACCGCCTGGACGCATGTCAGTTGACCCAAGGGGCAGACATAGAACATTTGTAGAGTGTGAAGAAAACTTGGTGAGTTTACGGTTCTTTTTATATATCAATCATATTTGTACGTGTAATGCTTTGGAAAATATAGCGTTTTAAAAACAAATGAATTATTTATAGTAGCCCTGTATTAAGGAAAATACTATCAAAAGGGTACTAATCACTCAGATACTGGGGGTCACAGAAACTTAACATTAAATAACCTTACGCCTAGAAAAATTAAACAGAGATTCCACTGTATTATGTTGTAACTGTCCTAGCAATGGAACAGATTTCAGAATGTTAAAAAATTAGAAAACATTTATTTTTTATGTGTATTAAAAGTAAATAATATGCTCTAAAGGGTCAAGAGTATGGTATTCACCAAAAGCCATCAGTATATAAAACAGAAAGTGATGCAAACTGCAGTGAAAAATAAAAATAATCTTTAAGTTGTATATCAAGAATATTGTCGCATCACATGGTACCAGTCTTGCATACCTGTAACACATGATGTTACTAACACCCAAGTGTTTCAGGTCATCACACAATCAACTGTCTTTCCCCTCCTGTATACATGAATCTCAACAATGACCTGAAACATCAGTGAAATTTTCGTTTTAATGTACCACCTTCCATGCCACGGATTTTGTTCCATTTTTCTTGAACGGTTTCTTTCACTGTTTCTGACAATCAATTTATGGTTTTTTTCCAACTTTGTTACAAGACAAACAGAAAATTGAAATCTGCATGAATGTAGGCAAAGTCAGGTTTTAGAACCTTCAATTAATATGAGTTATTAAATATTTCTTGAAATAGTGCAATAAAGAAAGATTCATCGCTGTCAAGTTCACATGCTACAGAACAAAAGACTTACAAATTTTTCTGCATAATATGAAAGGGCACCCAAACAGATACTCCAACATGTAAGTACTTGGTCTGGAACTTTGTTTTTAAAGAGCTCTAATCTAGCTGCCAATTTCACAATAATTTTCTTTCAGTTAGCCTCTAACCTATCTACATTTAGATAAAGCACATAAATTGTTTCACATACCCTGTGCAAAGCATGCCCTACCCATGCAACCTGTATTAGCCTAGGGTAGACCATTGTAACTGATGGTACATCCACACACACCACAGTAGGCCGTTAGCTTCAAGGTCCTTCTTTCTCCTTGTGTGTGCTAAACTGGTTCTTTACTTGTCATGATGGACTCAGCTGGCAGCTCTCTGAAGTTATTCCCTTCGTTGCCATATTGGTTCAACAAATTGCAGCACCATTTCATTCTGCTTAACCAATCATGCAAATTCACCACAGTTCACTATCAGTTTCAGGTTCCATCTTCATATGACAGAATCGAATACAAGGAATATCTGGTCAGGCAAGGTACATAATTGTACAGGTGTTTAATCATTTGCCAGAAAGATGCTGTCACATGTATTAGTGACTACAGACTACAGCACATACTAAGTCTTCTCAGTCTTCTGTGTCTTCATCGGTTGTTACCTAATAATGGTTTCCAATGCCACAGATCCTTTCAACTTCTGTGTACACATCCTTACTGGCTGGCAAATGTCTCACAACTAACTAAACTCTTAGACTTGTCCTGCTTATAACACCTTGGCATGAACCACACAGAAAACACCTCTCCCAACTGCTCTTCTACTGTTGGGTCATGCAGCTGTTACATGTAGAGAACACTGCTTCCCAGTTATACCACTGGTGCATGTTAGAATCTTTTGCCTAGCAATGGGCGTTGTTTACAGAGTCATTACTTAGCAAAGGGTCTATATGCTACATTGCTCCCTCCTTTAGGCTATTCATCCCGAATAACCTACAGGCGTACCACCATTTCATCTTTTCTGAGGGCTGTGCTCATTATGTTTGTGATCAGCCTCACCTTCCTTTCCTGTGGCTCAGTTCTCACAGTGATTACTTTCCAACTGTTCCCACTGCTCCTTCCTTAAGGTCGCTAGTCCTCTTCAGCTCCTTGATGAGGTGTGAACTGGGCCAAGTGTACCACCATCAATCTCGATCTAGAGATCCTTTCTGGTCGGTGTGCACAAAAGTTCTGAGAGTGGTCAATGCTCCTACATCTCTGGCTCTTAAGCTGCTAGTCATCTCTTCTTTCGTTTTGGAGGGGCCAAACCCTCCACAATGTCCGATCACTCACTTCCTGTAACCCAATGGAAATTCCAACTACTTTACTTCATGACCTCCAGTCTGAATGTCTGCCTGACAGTCCTGTTGAATGCCCTCTTGCTTCCTAGATGTAGCTGCCCTATTAGGCCTATCCCTTATGCCATTGTTGCGCTCATGTGCCCAAAGACTCTTCTCAAACGTTCATCCTTTTGGGGCTCACTGTACAACACTGTCACTGCCTGGTGCCTGATGACTGTGACCCTTGCACGGTGCAGAAGGGTCAACTGTCCTCGGGCAGTGCCCAACTTCTGCCAGGACCCACCATCACCCTGGGTCAATTTCTTCAGCTGTTGGTGGCATCCTACAACTAGACGCCAGTCCTTATCAGTTCTCCAGTGCTCTTGACAGTTTTTACTGCGGCCTCTTCCTTGGGGATGTTCTGCTACTCTGCTTAGGCCTCTGAATTTTCTCAATTGGCTTCCAAATCCATGGTCTCCATTTTTGTCAATTCTTCTTTGAAGACATTCACCATGGCCTCCATTTTGTCTAGCTGGGAGTCAATCCTGGCCATCATCCTTTCATGATGGGCATCGAACTTGGCCATCATCATTCCTTGGTTTGTTTCCATCTTTTCTATGGCGACTACCAGACATTCAGTCATTTGTTCTATTTTTGAAGGCTGACAGCACAATCAACCATTGCAGTATTCAATCCGATAGCTCAATCAAATCCAACTTCTGACACCAGTTGTCATGTGACTGAGTGACTATAGATGGGGTTTGGATCAGTAATTGGATTTACTGAACTCTCACAGAACATAACCAAAGAGCACTGTTGCTAATTAACACTATATACAATTCACTACAAAGTCTGCTGTATCTTCACTGGTTCTCATCTGGTAACGGCTTCCAATGCCATAGCTTCCTAAGCTTTCGTGTTCACACCCCTACTGGCCAGTGACTGTCTCCCAACTAACTAAACACTACAGAACTGTCCTGCTTATAACACCTCAGCAAGGACCACACATACAAGTAAAACATCTCTCCCAACAGCTCTTCTATTGTTGTATCATGCTGCTGTTGCATGTACCACGTAGAGAAGACTGCTTCCCAGTTAGTCCATTGATGCATGTTAGGAATCTGTTATCTAGCAAAGGGCATTGTTTACAGTCATAACTTAGCAACAGGTCTACATACTACAGTATTTCATCTCTGATGATGTGATAACATTAAGTTGTTGCACGATTCACGGCATTACCCGGCTTAACAGAAGAAACAATTTCTATGATTGTGTATGATTGTGTTACAAAACTTAAACTAAAACTTCACTGAGGGCCATGGTTCTGACGATGCAGTAGCTGGGTGGACCTATCACACACTTCAGAGACAGTGACAAATGAGGCTAGAGCATTGATAGAATGCTGACTGGCAGGGGAAAAATTAAGTACTTGATGAAAACATACCTCACTGCACTTTGCCTTCAAGAAATCCCTGGGATTGAACACAGGCCTCTCCCTGACATCCCCATGGCACAGCCTTATGCAATGCAGTATTTCTATTAATAATTTAGCTAAATCTTTATATGTAGTAAATGAACATAAAAATTAATGATAGATGCACCTTAAAACTGTCACTCTTGTTTATTTAGCAACAATCATGAAACTCACCACTGACATTTGAAAGCCCATCACACAGAAGGCCATCATGCTACCAAGTAGCTGTACTAGCATGACGGGTTTCAGAAAATCTTCCAACTTCTCCACAAAGCTGAAATATATTACAATGGAATGAGCATCAGTGGTGACCAACTCCAGACACAAGTCACAAATACCATGCACTAACATCCTGTATATCCAGTATCCAGTGTCACAAACGTGTCAGTATAGTAGAATGGTGGAAATCTGTATTAGAAGGTTGGCTAAAGCTTAGGGAATGGACTAGAGGCGCTTCCTAAAATCAGGGTGAAAAAGGAAATTTCAATCAAAATACACACACCCCTCCCCCAGTGTTCCATATTTATTTGACATACAGTAGATATTTTCAATATCATTTTTTTTCTTTTTGCCTTTTTTGTGGTTATATTTAAATCAATGGAGAGACCAGATATTTCTGGGGTTCACCGGGACTCATTCAAAATAATACAAAATTTCTGCATCGTCATTGCTGCTCCCTATGTTTCATCCAACATTAAAAATACACTCTGTTGTCCTATGGGCTTTTACTTCCAAGCGTTCCACATGCATGGCATTAAATTTTCTTCTTTTCCGCAGTGGGACTGACATACATATTTGTCCTATAGAAGGTAGAGTTATATTTTACAATCTGTAGGAAGTTTTACACCTGTTTTAGTAATATTCTAGTCCTCTTCCAGGTTATCATTGCCCTGCTTGCTATATGTAACAATCTTCCTCACTGTAGTCTCATCTACTAACATGATTAGTCAAGTATACTATGAACATTTAGACTGCAGTACGAGTATTCTAGATCATGGCACTGTGTAGTACGGTATGTGGTTATCAATATTTCAGATGAACCTGCCACCTCCTTCACTTATGACTTGAAGATGGAAGCAGCAGGTTTGTCTAGAATGTTTGTGACCACTCATCTCACTACACTGTATCATAACTCAGAACACACAATCTACATCATCATCACCACTATGAACACCCAAAATCCTGACTCTAGCCTTTCTGTATCATTGTGGTGATATGTAATGCATATTATTAACCCGTTGCCGTGGTTCGACGTGTATGTTTCGTCAGGGATTTAAATCGTCTGGGGGGGTTCGACGTGTATGTTTCGTCCAGCTGCACACGTATGTTATAACGCCCATAATAATTGATGGTTTTGCTGTAGATTGTTAGATTTTTCACTGGCCTGTTGTCAGGAGGACTGTATTTAATGACACACGCGTTTAAGAGCGCTAAGTCGTCGTTACATATGCCTGTCTTGCAGCAACGTTCCTGTGGCTATTGCGAGCTGTTTCTGTTATGAATGATGTGTTTTGTTTTCTCTGAAGCTATAAACACCAGAGACGTGATATGTGCTGGTGTTTATAATATCATATTGCCCTGAGCTGGCTACACTAACACATTCAATTGGAATTCTTAGAAGAGGGATGTACAAAAGTTTATGCCTGCAAAATCGATTGCTTTCGCACAGTACATAGCACCCATTTCTTAGAAAAACGCCACATTTTAAGGCAGAACACTGTGGTCACCCCCTGAGACGATACGGATGTGTGTGGGGGAGGGAAAAGAACTCATTCCTTCGCTCATTATCGCTCCAGTTGACTCCATTTTATCGTACTGACCTTGGTGGTCGTTTCGAGGGATGACCATAAATATTTTTTTGAGCCAGCTAAGCTCTACTTTCGTTCACTACATACCAGACAGTTCTTAGAATAACTTCATGAATTCTGTGGTCACCCCTACGACATCTCCTGCCGCCAAAATGGATGGAATATCAAAGGCATAGCAACAACCCCTTGTTATGATAACTCGTAACGTTGAATTTACTACAGCTGACCTGGCAACTAAACGGGTCACGGAAAGACATTTCCTTGAAGTATACCCCTCACGGGTAAGAAGGCAAGGCCGCACATATGTGTGGTTAAAAAAAAGGGCCAAAAAAAATACACAATATTGGAGCGGAGAATGGTGAACGTGGGGCACCGTTGGGTTATACGAATGCTTCAAGGCCTTCCTTCTACTAAACCAACTGCCTCCATTACCGAGATACAGGGCGCTCATATTATAAGGTAAGGTTATAAAAACCATCATTTAAGATCATTTTAGTGAAAGTTTCATCCTTCAAGGCGTACCATTCACTGCTGAAATACTAAACAACCTGCTTCCATGGCCGAGATACAGGGCGCCCATATTATAAGGTAAGGTTATAAAACCACCATTTAAGATCATTTTAGTGAAAGTTTCATGTTCCTATCTCATAGAATTTAAGAACAATGATGAATAAATAATTTTCGAGCAAAATTTAAATGGCCGGCTGAATATATTACCGCAGGAGCCGCGGCCGCGGAATTTAAATGACCACGTCAAAGGGTTAAAGAACGGCAAGTGCCAGTTCTATATATTGTGCACACAGCGAAGTGCCCAGAGGCAATGACTGACAAACGGTTTTCAATGTGCTTAACTAGTGGTATATTCAAAGTATAAATTTCAAGAACAATGTAAGTTGGATTACAACTCAAACTGATAAACAACTGTTTTCAGAACTTTTTGGTTTCATGGAAAAGATAATTCTAAGAGCAAATCTACCACATTAGCAGAAAGCTAAGAGACCCGTATAACATGTTAGTGTTATGTACTTGACTTGCAGTCTGAACCGTCTTGCTATATGCGGTGACGCTACTGCCATAACAGCAACTGTCCCTTTTTAGTGTCAGGCAAGCCTCACCTCAGAATGGCTTGATGATACTGGATGCAATTATTCAGTAAGTACTGCATCTTCTCTTCTAGCTCCTGCTCCATTAACATAGCCTGTACTGCCATCGTGTCATTTTCACTTCCTTTACCTGTAGAATTAATACAATTAACATCGTTAATTTTGAAGTTATACAATTTGGGGAGGCAAGATGGGGCAAGTTTAAATAGAAAAATTGCGAAAGGATTACATAAATGATAAAGAGGCTGTAGATACAACTTCCTGGTTAGCATATGGATGGACACTCAGCTCTGCAGTCATATACATAATTTTTAGCTGTTCTTCTAACTGATCAGGGAGTACTACTTATTGTGCCATGGTTGGCAGAATTTATTCTTCCATTCTGAACCATCTTTGACTTGCTGCACCTCCACGGGCAAGGAAGAGTATTACACAGCTTTCCAGATGACACAGTTCTACTAAAGCTGAGTTTCAATATATTCATTAAATTAATTACCATATTAAGAAATGTTCTCTTTACATAATAAAATTATAATGGTGCTGGATGAGATTATGCACACTATGCAATGGATGCAGGGAGTATTAATCCTGAGGGTAAATGGATTTCCCAACAAACATTCTGTCATCATCTATCATTCCATTCACGGAAAAAAAAAAAAAGTTCGAAAGAGCTTCTAGAAACCTGCAGTTTGAACGTTTTCCAATATTTTGTTATGATGAGATTATAGATGCATGAAGTGGAGACCCTTGTACAACAGTACTTTTAAAAAGCATTCACTATAGAGTAAATGTCCCTGAAAATACTCTGTTCTATAGTGCGAGGAAGAGTAACAATGGAAAAAATCTATATTATAATGGGAACGGTGTTGCAGAAAAGAAAGATACTCTAAGATTGAGCTTGTTTTGGAACAGCTATATCACTGGCAGTAGCCACTTATGATCTTGCTGTTGGCTTGTCTATGCCCACCACTATTTCAGTGCACTCTCCTCTCCTTGCATCTAGTAACAAATTTATTTGTGATTCACTGCATGCAATATTCCACACCTACTTTGATACCCATCCACACTCACTAGGACTGAATTCAGGACTATCTCAGTTGAGGCTGTCACTCTTTTATACACATGATATTTCCAGAATGGGCCTGTGCATTCATGAGTGGACTATGCAATTGGTATTTCTCAGAGAGGCCTGTAGAGGGGGCAGGTTTGGAACCTTTGGTAAATGAGAGGTGCACACAAGCTGGCATGTAACATAATACCCCACTCCACTCAGTTAACATGACAATATAAAATCACCTTACTCTGATCAAAGACAAACTGCATGGACATGGAACTGGTGTTCCATTACAAACTTCCAAAAAATTATTGTACCTCTCTGCTATTCTAATGTGACAATTCAGAAACTCAGCTCAATGCTAAAACTGTTACAGATGTATCTATACAACTTTAAACCTGTATAGTCTAGAAAGGCAAGAAAACAGTTTGTTTTTTTTTACATACAAAGAGTCTCAGCATGGGAATGCAGAATGACAGCACTTCTAGCAATGAGGTTTTTCACAAACACCATTTAAGAACTGGGCAGCAGTCTATCAGCAAAGCACCTGTTGTTGTGCACAAACTTGTCCACCAACTCTATAGTTCTCAGCCTGCATATGTACTGTACATTCATTATAAAGAATGGGAGATTCACAAAGTTAATAGAAAGTCCGTCGAGTGTAACAATTTGTAGGTCACTTTTTATTATTATTTCTGCCTTACATGTTTCGGTTTGACACAACCATCATCAGAGGCACTTGCTATAATTATGGAAACACTGTCGCTGTTTCTTGATGTTCACAATTATGTTTGTCGTGTGGACGCTGCTACGATATGTTGACGTGTAAAAGCACAAAACATGCTAAGATAGTTGAGTACATTCTCAAATTCTCACTTTTCATCCGAACCTATTTTTTAAGTTAAAATGCTAAAATGTTAAAATATTTGATATAAATGCTGAACTCCTCCTTGTTAATTCATCCCGAAGATGGGAGACGTCAGCTTGAGGTTGTATGGCTTATGGTTTGATGTGTTCCTGTGTGCTGTGTGCTGTGTAGTGCCTTCGGATAGGTTCGGATGAAAAGTGAGAATTTGAGAGTGTACTCAACTATCTTAGCATGTTTTGTGCTTTTACACGTCAACATATCGTAGCAGCGTCCACACGACAAACATAATTGTGAACATCAAAAAACAGCGACAGTGTTTCCATAATTATAGCAAGTGCCTCTGATGATGGTTGTGTCAAACCGAAACATGTAAGGCAGAAATAATAATAAAAAGTGACCTACAAATTGTTACACTCGACGGACTTCTATTAACTTTGTGATTGATAGTGTAACGAACCAAACTCAAACAATTCAATGGGAGATTAATGTTATCACTGTCTGTGTCTCTTCTTGATGACCCTGAATAATCCATTTTGAGCTGTTAGTTAAGTTTCACTAGTTTTGTAATAACATATTTGTACCTACAATAAAATAACAAAGAATGTACTTAGAGAAAATTTTTATACCACTGGAGTATACATCTGTATTGTTGTAAATGTCCTCTTAGCAACCTCACAACAGCAGTGATCTCAATGTAATTTCCCAATTGCATTTTCTACATATGTGCAGTTCTTCTTTAAATATATAATAATACAGTGACCATTTAAAATATGGATTTGACGCTCGGTTTGGTAACTAATCCACTGAAAATAAACATGTTAAAGATGGTTTAGTGATAAATAATAGAAATATCAAAAATTTTATGTAAACAGCAAAGCAACAATCTTCTGGCGCAATAAGGGAAATGCTGAAAGCATGGGAAACTGTTGCAGCGTACATTGAGAAGCATCACCCTAATAAGGCAGTGGCTATGCGCGTTACAAATTTATTTAATGATAATGCTGTGTCACATTTTCACCAAATTTTGAAGCGTCAGCAAAAACAAATGTCTCTAGACAGCTTTCTAGTAAAAAAGAATTAGAATGTATCATAAATAATAAACTAACTATTTTGATTTTTTTTTATTTCTGCAAATCGAATTCCCATTCCAGGTTGGTTCATTCTGCATAGAAGAAAAGATGAAGATGATTCACGCTCCTTAACAATGTATATATAATTTTCTTTGAATAAGGTTATACATAAAATTTTTTTAGTATTTTTTCGGCATGGAACGCATTATCATATCTTACTTTAATTTATATGGGAAAAATTGTTTCGCTTAACGAGTGTTTCCCATTATGAGTAAGATTCTGGAACGAATTATGCTCGTTAAGCGAGGTTCCACTGTATCTACATACTATTTACCATTAATGGTGGATTTATAATCCTTGGTTTGTGTCCATGATTTCAGTAGCGTTCAAAATCACCATTTATTTACTCTAAAACAAGCATTTACCTTCATCATGTTCCTCTAAATGTTGACTAACACAGCTATATACACAATTTAGAACTTTATAACAGTAAGCCATCAGTAGTAGGGTGTAACTTCCACAACAAATTGCCTAACAACATAAAACAGATACATAACAAGTAGTTTGAAAAGGAACTGAAGAACTTACTTATTAAGAGATACTATTATTAAATAGAAGATCATCTCAGTAAAGAATTCTGTGATATTGGTTACTGATAAGCAGATGTACAGAATAAGCTACATTTCTAATAAATTTATTCCATAATCATTAATGTATTTCAATAATAATATAGACAGATATGTCCTATATCAATGTACAAGTATTTTGTTCTACAGAATAAAACAAAAATGAATGAAATGGATGATTTTGTTCACATACTGTTACCATCAATCCCAATCTGTTCTGACAACTGAATGGTTCCATGAACTTGAAATTGATTCTTATCCACTTCCAGTGCTTTTGTAGCATATTCACGCAAATGTATCAAACTATGCTGCAGTGCTTTGAAATGCCCAGAAGTATGAATAAATACAGAAACGAATAGCATATCCCAAGCAGGCAATTCTATGAAGACAGAAAGTCCACAAAATGCCTGATAGAGGTATGTCAGAATGAAATAAAGTAAGTTGTTTTCTGTATCATAGGGTAAGTATGCAACGAATGGCAACTGCAGTGTGAGGGTTTTATTGCTGCTAGATTTCACATCATCCCTGTCATCTGGAGCATCCAACTCTTCTGCATACTCTGCCAACATTTCTTTAATTGGATATAAAAGCCAAAATGTAACTAGAAGAAGCGCCACATTTCTTCTTATGATAGTATACAGTTTTGCTCTTGCTGCATATCTGTTCAAGATTACTGTCTGTTGTGACACAGACAGCTCCTCATTTCTGAAAAATTTGTTCTGTAACTGATTAATAAGTTCAGAGGCATAATCAATTCTAAGAAGCAAGTAAGAATTCTTAAATGCAACAAGACCGCCGAATATGGTCGACAAAGCTATTTTTGCTAAGTGTTCAAGGTCAGTAAGGTAGATATATGCGTCACAAATTTGTGTTACTTCAAACAAAATCAGTGATATAATAGTTAAAAATGCAAATGCTCGATGAAGTCTCCACTGAGGTACATCCCATTTCCAGAGGCCCAAAATACGAAGTGTGCGAAGATTGTACTCCAGCAATTCCTTCGATCCACGATGTTCCTCTACACCGAGAAATTCAATCATTCTTGGTGTCAGTAGCTCCATCTTAATTCTGGATTCTAAGTTTAAAGTGCTGTGTTTCCTATAAAGACCAGAAATATCTGGTACCGTAATAAGAATCCTACTAAACTCCACTATGACCGCATAAACTTCCAGATTTTTAGCAGCTGACGGTAAGTGCCAAACGTTATAGTATGACCAGTAAGCAGAAATTTCAAGTATCACAGTTTTATCCAAGTGGATACACTCTGGTTTAAATGCAAGTCATGACGTTCACCTTAAGTGATCTTGTAAGACTCATAAAGCGTATCATCAAGCGAAATAATTTATAATCAATTTCAGTGTAAGATACATAACCTTATTTTCCATATGTCATTTTCCCACACTTTAAATAAGCATGATGTTCAAAGAATGAGAAGACCCAGGTAATCTGCAATTTAAATTTCTTTTAATGAGATATCCCATCTACAGAGCACTTATATAATTTTGATCTTTCAAAAGAGAAATGGTTTACAGCTAAAATACAATTATCTGTTTATAACGATTATTCATAAATTAATTTGTTGGTTAATTAATTGCAGACATTATGGACATTAATGACAGGTCACTATGAAAATTACAAGTGGGAGACAAATTTGGTGCATTTGCCGATATTTATCTGGAAGGACAGGTGAAAACTGAACACCACTCATACCCCTAAATATAAACTGATACGTACTTCTGACTTTGTAAATATTTCAATTTAAATTTCGTTTATTAGATTTTCCACAACTTATACTAGAAATTTTAATTCAAAATTAAATTTTTAATTAAAACTCTCAATCTTTATATTTACACAACATTTTTCAGCCCACACAGCCATCACGTGCGCTAAAATTGCTTTGGTGAAACTGCTGCACCTTATGCGGCATTGTAACATTTTTCATGATTCAATTCTGAATTCTGAAGTATGTTTCCTCTCTCTCTCTCTCTCTCTCTCTGTGTGTGTGTGAGAGAGAGAGAGAGGTGCATGCAGTGTACTTTTACAACATAAGAAACAAGGTGGCACACAATGACATAACTATCATACCAAGTTCTATGAAGATCAGTCACCTGGTTAAAAAGAAAGAAAAACACCCAGCACAGTGATCTCACAAACCTACTTTCTTTCCTTATGATTGTATGTGGGTTACAAATGACTTACATTATGAAAAATTTGCAAATGATACTTAACTGATAACTACAAACTTTATTTAAAATCTTGGTTTCAGCAAAACTATTAAAACATGAAATATATTAAACATGGCATCTATAATACTATACTACATGATCCTCAGCTATTGAAGAGGAATTCCATTCACTTATGAAAATGTGCTGTTCTGAGAGCTGTCATTACATTACATTGAAATTTTATGTCTCATTTCAGTAATGAGAGTGGGAAGCATGTCATTAAGTTTTCTTTCACATGTCATTAAATAACTGCTGTATAAGTAATGTAATGCAACACATGGCTTTTCTCAATCAAAGGTTTTGTAGTCATTATACTCCAAACCAGAGGCAGATAATGATATCAGTTCTCTCTTCATGTTAACATATTGATCAGAAGTACGTCTGACAGCTGATATTCTGTACCGAAGTGAAATAGAGTAGAAAGTAAGTACTGTACAGCAAACCTTACATATAATGGAACTGCAACAGCACTTACATTTGTTACTCATGTACTGAAAACAGTAATTTACTTCTGGAAAAATAAAACATTCCAGCAATATAGACTCCATGCATTTATGATAATAAGCATCACTTAGAAATTTTTGTCACATATGTACATTACCAATGGCTTCTCCATTCATCATGCCTGTTGTACCTTCGTTTTTACTGGCTACAATACAAGTGCTGCTGTTGATGGACAAATTTGTAACTACCTCTTATACCTACATTCATCAAAATCCTTCAAACCAAGAGTCTTCCTCAATGATTTTACTGAATCTCTGGACCTTCACCATGCCAACAGGAAAAAAAAGGTGCTGACAGTTTTTGTAGCTACTTTGTTTTACTAAGTTCCATATGAGTCTGAGTGGCTTAAAATCACAATCATTTTCATTTCAAAATTCTCTCAATTGTGAAAACAGGCTGTGATTTATTTTATATCACAATTTCTAACAATTTCCTTTAGTCATGCACAAATCAACTAAGTTAGTGTTATTTTGCACCTACAGTAGAATATCTTCTGTATTAAATGTTATGGTTCCTATTTTCTTCAATAGATCCTACGATAAATACATGATATATTGTCAGGGTCAGTTCATTCAGATGTAAGGCTGAGAATGTATACATCATTCTTCTAACCACTTACTGCAATTTGTATTATTCATGCCATGCTAATTTTCATATTTGTATTTATAATCATATGTGACCTCTAACTTTTCGCTGAACTCAATATTTCCCCTGGCAATAACTTATGCTGTTTCTTGGCAGACGTCCGCATGAATTCAATTTGTGTACAATGATTTTGGTCCAGCAAGAGGCTTCTGAACAATGGAAACACAAAACAGAAGAAACATTCTGCTGGCAGCTGTTTCTTGTGGTTGTGACTATTGTTTTGTGTTAGAGTATTCAGTAAGTTAGTTGCAAAACTGTTGTTGCTTTTACATTTCCTTGGCAATCATCTTATAAATTTTGAGCTTTGCATACTGGCCTGGCAGTTGTATAGATAAGGGAAGAGCAGTGGTGGGGACTTCTATATCATAGACTGCGAACTGTCAACATGTACCAAAGATGTGCCCTCTTCTGTTTCTTCAGCAGGTGCAATATTTCTGTAAGTTCTACAAACTAAACAATGGCTACTACAGATCAGCCCATGCATTAACAAGGGGCATGCATTGCTTACCAAGTACAGTAAAACCTGTCTTAAACGGACCCCCTATTAAACGGAAATCTGTCTTAAATGGAAATATTTTCAGGTCCCTTGACTGTGGGGCTGAAAAAGATGTTAAATAACCTGGATTAAATGGAAACTGTCTAACGCGGACAACAGAAATCAAAATAAGCCTTTATACAGAAAATTTCCAGTCTTCCGGAATGCATCGTTTAGAATAATTTTAGGCATCCTATACACTCTACAGAATTTTGTTTTCCCTAACTCTTTAAAATAAGCTTCTAACAGTACTGCACTACCTGCACTGAGATTCGGGAGAATTGTTTTCCCCTTCTGGAAATTGTATTCAGTAAGGGCTCTAGGCCTACAGTTTTACTTTAGTCTAGCAGTTGTCATCATGACTACAAAGACAAGAGTTGTGCTTGATCTTAACACAAGATTAAAAGTGATTCATGCGAGTGAGCGAGATAAATTGTCTGTTATGCAGATCATGAAGACGTTTAACGTCGGAAAAAACTCAAGTGCATGAGATTCTAAAGAAGAAAATGGAAATTTTTGAATCGGTGGGAAACTTGTGCTAATTGAAAAATAAAAAGAGAACTTAAGAAAACTGCAAATGAAGACATTAATGAAATAGTGTGGGAGTGGTTTGTCAGCGTGAGGGTGAAAAATCACCGGTTGTTGGGTCCTATGGTACAGGAATATGCCAAAAAATCCACTGAAAAACTGGGGAAGACTGAATTAAAATCATCTAACAGATGGTTGGAGAGTTTTCGCAAAAGACATCGGATAGTTTTTAATGAACTTTGTGGTGAATCGAGTGATATAAATAGTGAGACCATTGAGGAATGGGAAGCTAAATTGCCATCCATAATCGAGGGATATGAACCTGAAAACATAGCGAACGGTGATGAGACTGGACTGTTCTTCCACGTGCTTCCGAATAAATCGCTATGTCTGAAAGGTGAAAAATGTTTGGGAGGAAAACTGTGCAAAGAAAGATTGACTGTTTTTCTATGTGGTTTTATGTCGGGTGAAACGGAGAAAACCTTAGTCATTGGCAAGGCAGCAAAGCCATGATGCTTCCGAAACATGGACATACAGAAACTTCCCATTGAGTGGAGCTCCAACAAAAAGGCATGGATGACATCACAGATCATGGAGGAATGGTTAACAGCCTTGAATGGTAGAATGAAAATGCAAAACCAGCATGTTTTGTTTTTCTTGGAAAACGCAACATGCCACACCCATATCGAACTTTCCAATGTGCAACTTGCTTGGTTCCCTCCAAACACCACTAGTGTTTCTAAACCAATGGCTCAGGGCATCATTCGGAATGTTAAGGTCCACTATCGTAAATTATTAATGCAATATTTGCTTGTCAATATAGATTCTACATCATCCGCCTCTGAACTTGCAAGAACTGTCTCGGTTCTAGATGTGGTTATTTGGATAAGTCAAGCAGTAAAGAAGTTGTTACCAGAAACTGTGACAAAGTGTTTTGAAAAGGCAGGATTTTCTACGGTAGAAGTTACTCCTAGTGTAAAAAATGAGAATGACCAGAAGGACTTACAACATTGCATGAATGAAGCTGCTTTCAGTAACTGCAATGCTGAGGACTACATCAACACAGACAAAGACGTGCAAACAGAAACAGACACAATTGATGTCGATGTATTAGTTGAGAATTTTAGAGAAAATTGAAAAGAAAGAGAGGAGGAGGAGGAGGAGGAAGAGGAAGAAGAGGAAAATGACATTGTGATAGAAGAAGAAAAGTGTAGAGTGAAGACTTATCAGGATGCTGCCAGCAGTTTAAATGTACTGCAGGAGTTTGCCATGCAATGGAATGATTCAGACATGCTTACTCTAATTTCTCAAGCTAAAGTGTTTGTGGAAAGTCAGGCAGCCAAGAGAGTAAACTGCATGCAAAAAACTCTGCCGGAGTTCTGGTAAGATTATAAAAAGTGAGTACTGCAATTTTTTCTTGTTCAGTGTAATGTTTGCATGTGTTCAATGATTACAGTGTGAATAAATTAATGAGCATGTTTTTTTTGTTTTGTCTCAAATACGTTTATGTCCTGGTTTAGTTATTATAGTATACCTTGATTAAATGGAAACCTGGCTTCAGCAGAAATTTTTTCTGGTCCCTTGAGATTCCGTTTAAGACAGGTTTTACCATAATAACATTAACTGATGGTCATCTTGCATTTTGCTACAAAAGCGACCAACATAGAGTGTCCCACACAATGATCTCAACTTGTGTACATATACGCGGTGGGCACGAAGAAAAATTCATTCTGATTTACCCCACATGAATTACACACTCAATATGATGATAATTCTGTCTCGCAAACTTTCGTAACACTGACAGCCAAGTTCATGACCCCTCAACGACACATATGCTCCGCAACTTCATGACAGATTTAAAGAATCAAAACCCTGAATTTCATTACTGAGACTGATCTCTTTGCAGTTTTTCCTCAAGGTAACCCCACAGTAAACAGTCACAGAACTTCATGTCTGAACTACAGAGTGATCACTTCTGACCAGCCCCAACAACACAGTATTATTGATGGACAACATGGCTGCCATGACGTTACAAAGGCACAACTGCCATCTCTATGCAGATGTATGTCCACTGATACAAAATGGCTGCTGCCAGCACCAAGAGCATGATGTGTAAGAAGGCATGCTATCACAGCACTGGATTACACATACTGCCCCCCTCCACTCCACCAGGACAACTATTTCACAAGAACAGCAATAAATAATTTTGCAACCTGTCTTGTATTGCAGAGATTCCTACTCCATTTTTAGGAGGGGGCTGAGTTTAATATTACTTCACTTATACCCATCAGGAGAAAGCTTCTCACAAGTGCCTTGAAGCCAAAAAAATTTCATTTACATCAATCCAACACCCCCTTACTAACTGCAATGGACACTGCGACCTGTAACATACATAGAACACTTCTGTTTAAGAAAGCTGAAGGTGGGTAAACTTGAAAGCAAATTCTGTTTCCATCAGAATAACTCTGCTCGCACTTTACATTTAAAAGCTACATAGAACATATTTTTTGTTTACATTACTATTGAGGCATGCCACGTAAACGTTGGAATATCTGAGTTACAGTGGACATCCATTGCGAGACAACAACACGGTAGTCACGTTTCCTGCACAACAGAGGTGACATTTTCACAACAACAGAGGGATTAACAGTTTCATTCGGTGTTCCCTAGTTGATAAGCCAAGCAGTTATGAAAGAGAATGCATTTGTAACAGAACACAAAAGTCAGAATTGAAGCCATGAGCTCAAAAGTGAAATTCAGAGTCAGAACTGAAGGTACAGAAGTGAGAGGAGAGTCCAAAAGACCAGAGATGCAAGACACAAAAAACAGTGAGGGACTGGGTATTCAGAAGTAGTTGAATGTGTGAATTACTGTAACCGAGTATAAATGTGGTAGTAACACGCTATAAAGCCAAAGATCAAACCTAAGAATCCCACAATAATTTGTCACGGAACCCCAGACATGTGACAATATATTATAAATCATGTACAGCAAGCAGTAATACTGAGGTTCCCATTTATTATTAATTTCTGTAGAGTGATAAAACTCGAGAATCTGAAATGCACTCTTGCTTACAAGATTTAAGATTGCACTTAATAATATATAAAAAGCAACAAAATTATGCAGAACTATGACAAACTTCATGATCCTGTTTCATGATCATGTTTCCAAGTTCAATACTGAGGAGAATAATATGCCCAAAATAATAACTGAAGAAAAATAATGAATCTTGAAAATCTTAAATATATACATGTTCACAAATTTAATACTGAACAGACGAATATAGCCAATATTACAAAATAACTGAAGGAATATAATGAATTTTGAAAATCTGAAATATATGCATGTTCACAAGTTCAAGACTGAACAGAATAATATGGCCAGTATAATAAAATAACTGAAGGAATGCAATGAATCATGAAAATCTCACATACACAGGTAGGCTGAAAAGTAATGCACACATGCTTGTAGAAAGCGAACAAAAACAAATAGCAAGATCGGGCAAAAAGTACATTAAAGTACAATTCTTAAGTTTCAAAAGCATATATTTATTTTTCAACATAGTCACTGTTAAGGCTAACATATTTCTCCCAACATGTAACAAGTTTTTCATTCCGTCACTGAAAAATTCTTCCGACTTTTCTCGAATCCAGGACTTGACAGCTGCCTTCACCTCATCGTCCGAGGTGTAATGATTACCCTTGAGGTCTGTCTTGAGTAGAGGAAGAAAATAAAAATCGCAAGGCGCAAGATCGGGGGAATAAGGAGGGTGTGGAATCCGTTCAAACTTCAGGTTTCGCAGAGCCTCTTAAGTTGCGCGCGAGGTGTGTGGACGAGCGTTGTCATGTTGCAAGATTATTGGCGCCAGGCTGCCTCTAACACAACAAACTTGACGCCGGAGGTGTTTTAGAGTCTGTATGTACTGAGAAGAATTTACCATTGCCCCTCGTTCCAGAAAATCGGTCACATAAACTCGGCGAGCATTCTAAAACACAGTCAAAAGAAGTTTTTTGGCGGATGGTTGTGTTTTGAACTTTTTCGCCTGAGGAGAAGACAGATGTCGATATTCAGCGCTCTGTCTTTTCTCTTCCGGGTCATAACGATGGACCCATGACTCGTCCGTCACAATATTCAAAAGAAAGTCGTCTCCTTCATCACGGTAGCGCTGCAAAAGTTGCTCGCAGCATTCCAATCGACGCTGTTTGTTCTCGCCTGTGAGACGGCATGGTACCCATCGTGCACAGATTTTACGGTATCCCAATTGTTCAATAATGAAGCCGACACATTCCTTGGATATTCCAATATGGTTTGTGATACGCTTTTGAGTGATTCGCCGGTCATTTTGAATCAAATCGTCGACGAGTTTGCGATGATTATCATCTGTGGCAGTGATCGGACGTCCGCTGCGTGTTTCATCAACAATTATGGCTTTTCCAGGCTCACAACCACGAAATTTTATTACCCATCGATTTACAGTAGACCTATCAACAGCATCGTCACCATAAACAGCCTTTAAACGACGATGAATCTCAGTAGGAGTCACTTTTTCAGCAGTTAAAAATTTGATAACAGCACCCTGTTTAACTCGTGTTGACATAGCACTAGAACACGTCTCCATACTTCCACTTCTCGAAATACACTGGATGAACGCAACGACCTCAAACCTGCGCACGCGTATTAAGGGGGAATGTTACTTCCACATGCCACCTGGCGTGCTTCTGAAGGTCATTTCGTTCGCGCTCTACAAGCATGTGTCCATTACTTTTCAGCCTACCTATGTATATGAGCATTTCTTTTTATAAATTTGCTACTTAGTGAAAAATATGGCCAAAATAATATTCTTGGGGGTAAAGAGCAGCCGGTGTGTAGGGCTGACAACCTTGCTGCCATCTATCAGCCGACTGTCTAGAAAATGTGGGAACCTCGACATCTCACAACCCTATGAGCCCCCACAGCCTGTTACAGGGATATGTTTACTTTACTTTTACTTCATTTTTACTAAAGGAATATACCCATAATAATGAAAAGCTGAATAATATACCCAAAATAATAAAACAGCTGAATAAAATATGTAAATACTATTAACAAAAAAATCCTATTCAAGAAATTGATAATAAACCTAATTACAAAATACACTGTGAATCCTGATACTGATTCTGCTTCTCGGTGTTTTATGCTGAAGCAGATAACCTGAACATTTTGAAATAAGTTACTTCAGGGCATCTACAAACTGTCCCACAGTTGGGTTATTGTTTAAACTACAGTATGAATGAACTGAATCAAGTGTGTTCTCATGCGGATTCTGGTTCATGTTTTGGATATTAAGGCAGTTAAAACCCGCCTCTTTCACTATCCTCCACACGTGCTAGGCAGCAGTACTGTCAATTAGCAAACCATTCTGTGAAGGAAGACAATGAAGAAATGTGGGTCTAACATCCTTGAGGAAGATCCAACTATTTATCCCCATACTTGCCTCTTCCATTGATCTATATGGGGGCTGTTATCAGTGAGTGGGCAATGCAGCGTTTTCATTGGGTCAACACATGTTCCACCATTGAAATTATCGAAGAGGTTGTCATCCTCATCAATAAACATAGTTGTTGCCAGGTATTCACTGCAGCACCCACCTAAACAAACATAAAAAAATGAAGTTAGTGGGCTTCCTTACATAGTGGATTAATATTTCTTCATATTGGAAATAACACATATTACTGTACATGGGACTGCAGTTATAAAAAATCTGTATATCTGATTACATTACTCCTCATAGTAAAGTCGGTGCTACTGTATTCTCTCATAAATCATTTTATTGACAGTGTTGTCTGCTTTCCCAGCATTTTTAATTACCCTAAAGACATTAGTATTTGTGACATGTAACTTGCATTTTGATATACAGTTTCATAAATAATTAATGACAATGACATTTGAGAACTGAGTTCTTGGAACAATAACTTTGAAAACTATCCCTCATTACTCTCATGAACCACTTCTATCATAACTGAATATACTTCATTGCTTTCACTTTCTATGTAGGCCACAGTTCATGAAGACTAGAGCACAATTTGCAATGCTGCAAGTCCTGCCCTGACTTCCAAAATCCTCAAAACCCTCAATGCAGTCAAAGTTCTGACTGAAATGCAAGTTCACTCTGATTGACATTTCATCAAACTTGTGACAACAATGATCTCTAAAAGACATTTTATGCAGAGACTGTTGGAGTGTACAAAACACATGAGCATTGATGCCTGTCTTAAATGGAACAGTATTCAGGATGGAATGAAAGGACTGACTGGATGGGAGGGAGAGTAGTGTATGGAGAATATAGAATTTCGGGCGACATTTAAGGAGAGAGAGAGCCAACACTTTGTCATCAAAATTAAATCTCCTGCCCTTAGGCCTCTGTCTGTTCCTAAACACTGCTGCCAAAAGACTGGCAGCCTCTAAACTGAATGAAGATGAAAGATAATCCATCAGTGGGTCACTGTCCACATCACAGATTTTTTCAACTTCTTCCCCTTATATTAATTTTTGAGTGTGCAATGTGCACTATCCTTATTCCAAATATGTTCGTACAATTTCCCTTTCCATGGCATCAATTCCCAAAGCAATGCCAAATTAAGTTCTTTTAGCAGAGAATGCTTTGCTCTAAGCTTTGAGGAAGACATGCCTGAGTTCCCCATTAGAAACATTTATACTTACAGAGCTTAGAGGAAAGGAGGTTTCTTTCACTGCAAAGGTGCTGGCTGCTGTTGGTGATGGTTGCACTGCAGACATCTGACAGGAAGCAGAAGAACTATCTGCATAGACAGGAACAAATGTACAGCAGAGGGCACCAATGTCTTGCTACAGTTTCTGGAGGGAGACCGGTCATACAGGTCATCTTCAGGACTTGAAACTGAAGGCAAGGGATCAAAGAAAAGCATATGTAATGAAGGTTTGGGAGGTTGTGGGAGTGACTGAGCAGCAGAATATGGGCCACATGTACAAAGTGTACCCTTTGTGCTGTAGATAAATCACTTTCTGAGAAATGTCTGCTGCAAAAATGTTTATTGTACAGCATTCTTGTAGAATTAATAGTGCAGGATGTCCCAATTCTTCTAGCCCATACCAAAACCCTTTAAGAGCAGAATATACTGTCTCAAAATCCATAAATAATTCATTAACAAACATTACAAAAATGGTGCAGGTGCTGCAATTAATAAATCTAATGCGGACGTTGGCTAAACTGAATTCCTTCGTTGCATTAAGTGACACATAATAAAGTCATTACATCATGAAACAGACATATTGTTCTGAATCCCTGAAAAAGTTGGATGACAAGCAACCAGGGGCAAAGCGTAATTTCTTTCTTTCAATTTATACTGCAAGAAACAATACACAAATTATAACTAAGACATATAAAGCATGGAATACACCGTTTACACAACAACAATTAACGTTCAAAACAAAGAAGATACTACTGCATCAACATTTGCTTTTATTACGCTCATTAGAGACGCAACATGTTTCGACCATTTCATAGGTCATTATCAGGCATACACAGCACCGGTCTGAGCTGTTGTGTTGTAAACATCAGTTTATTCATCAAATAAAGATCCTTATTGTGTCTTGAAATTAAATTCAAATGTAAATGTATAACAAATCCTGGGTGAAATTTAAAGCTAAAGTCCTTATATAAAAATTTGTAGTCTAAAATTACAGAAGTAAAGATAAGAAATAAAACATTAAACCAAGAGAACAAAGATTAAGACATAAAAATTAATGTAGTGTTTTGTTGGAACACTCTGCGACCACTAAGTGTAGGCCTGCTTTTAAGCCAGAAGAAGCGACTACAGCGTGGGGAACCCGCATAACGGAATCTTCTTAGTAGGATAGGTTGTGTAGCCATGACCTCGGTAATGTCTTAGAGCAGTGCTTCTCAACCGCTGGGCTGCGGTCCAGTAGTGGGCCCTAGCATCAATTATACTGGGCCGCGAGAGGCTCTTCTGGAATTTGTCATTTTCATTTTCTAAGCATTTTTCTTGAATAAACATTTTATAGTGGAAATATTCTGAGGAGAATAATATTTGTGTCGAGAAGCTCAGGCACAGAACACCTAAATCTGTGTAGCAAATGTCAGTGACCAAGCCACATATTTTTAAACATGGAAGTGTTCATGAATGATCGGGAATTTTCAGACATCCAAATCTTTCAACATTTGGGAAAGGCAATACCGAAGTTTATGACCAGTCATAAAAATTGCTTGCAAGCCGATTACAACAATGGGCGGCATATCCTCTGTTCTCAGAACTGAGTGAAATAACATCTGTGTTGCAAATGTCAGTGACCAATCAGCAAGGAAGTATAAAGAAAATTTTTCCACTGAAATTGAAGTTCAAGGCAGTCTGTATCCAGTTCTCAAATCTAGTAATACTGAATACTGTTTCTTCACAAGTTGACATCCTTCTGCTTCTTCCCCTACTCAGTAGACTTCTATGGTGAGTTACAATGCATAAATATTTTTCTCACTGGCATTTTTTCCAAACCAACATCCTTAAAATCAATTTAATAATACAATAATCAATTTTACGCTGAATAACATAAGTTTTTGGTGATCAGCATGGGATATGTCAATGAAAATTATCACAACTTAATTTAATGATGTTGGTCTGAGGAAACTATAAAATCCTACAAGATTTCTTTAGTCCTGTGATTGATAACTAATTTAAACGTAATTTTATGTTTGTTAACATGCCACACTGTATAAATAAGTGTACTAATACTCTTTATGATTATGCTATAATTAATTACTAATATTACGTTAGCTTAGTTAGTTAGTTAGTTACTTATTGGAGAGGGTGGGTTTCCCCATGCACTTAGACCTGTATTGGTCCATTGTGCTTCCCTCTATGATTTCTACCAGTCTCTATATCCTACCAGTACTGGTGCTTACCATCAGTCCCGTCCAGCCAGCGAGACCGGCTCTACTAGCTGAGAGGTATCTATAATGCTTCCCACATCTACCAGAGGTATTAGAGACTGCTGTTGGGTGGGAAACGTCCGTAATTTGGCTCAGTGACCTCCTTTGGAGATATGACGTTCTTTTACATGCCGTACAGCTACGACACGGAACCCACGGCTTAAAGTCCCTCCCGGAGGACTTGTTCCCTGAATTTTTCCACCCTTAAAAATTCGATGACCTCCGCCGGGTATTTGAACCCGCGTACGAGTCATGAGGTGGGAATGTTACCTCCAGACTACGGAGGCCGCTTTTACGTTAGCTTAATGCATGAACTTTAACAAAACTGGAAAGGTATTTACATGTAAATTTGATGCGACTGGGCCCTCGTCTTATAAAAAAAGAACTTACTGGGCCACGGTCTCATATAGGTTGAGAACCACTGTCTTAGAGAGCTTAAGCTCAATATACAATAAGTGATATATATTAGGTTGTACTTATGAATGGAAAGTGTGTTGGCTGCCCCCTGCCCTTATGCTGTCGCTATAATGTAGTAGTCCCCACCAACGGTATCTCCACCTTATCGTGGTGGTGGGGTTTGAGAGCTCCTGAGACCCTGAGAGCTATGCCGGTGGTAGCGTAGCTACTGGTAGAGCTACCCATGCGGGACAGGTGAAGGGGTAGGAGCCAGATAGAAAGGGATACCCTGGTCCTCCAGGTTGGGGGTTGGGCATGAGGCCAACAACCTTACACCATAAAAACTAAATTGTTCAGAAATCCAAGGAAAGAGTAGCGAGATGGACCTATTCAAGACAACCTGGAAAATGTTTAAAGGATTTGAAAATTGGATCTTGGAATGTATTATCTCTCTACAAAGCCGGAGCACTAAAAATGCTACTTGAACAACTAGATAGCTATAAAATAGATATCACTGCTATACAAGAACTGAGGTGGTTGGGTAAAGGAGTCATGGAAAAGAGGGATCATGTTGTATTCTATAGCTGTCAGAAGAAGAGTGACATGTTTGGAACAGGTTTTATTGTTAATGAAAAAAGGAGGCATCTTATTTTAGACTTCCAGGCAAAATCTCACAGAACATGTAGGCTACGAATTAAGGGAAAGTTTTTTAACTATAGCCTTATTTGTGCACATGCCCCAACTGAAGATAAAAGTGATGAGGAGTAAGATTCCTTTTATGACGAATTGGATGAAATAGATGGCTAATGCCCAAAAAGGGATTGTAAAATAATCATAGGGGACATGAATGTTAAAGTGGGGAATGAGGATGTATATAGATCGGTTATTGGAAAACATAGCCTACATAACAAGTCAAATGATAATGGGATGAGATTAATAAATTTTGCTTCCTCAAGAAACATGGTAGTAGGTAGTACAATGTTTAATCACAAGGATATACATAAACGAATTTGGAAATCCCCTGATGGAAATGTGTTTAACCAAACTGATCACATCCTAATAGATGTAAGACACTGATCAGACTTGATGGATGTCAGGAGCTACAGGGAGGCCAACATTGACTCTGATCATTACTTAATAATATCAAAAATTTGAAGCTGAATATCTAATGCAAGGAAGATACATGGATCCCAGGCTAAGAACCCGTATTGTGGAAAATTGGTGGAACAAGGAGTTGCAACCAGATATACTGGATTAATTAGTGAATGCCTGGCAGGTCTCTCTGACAGTGAGGATGTCAGTGAAGCCTGGAGGGCCCCCAGAGATGTTATTATAAATGCTGCTGGTGCAGTTTTAGGACGAAGCATAAGAATTGGTTTGATGGAGACTGTGGGCAAGTGACAAATAAAAAAAACCAGGCATATAAGAGAATGAAGCAAAAGAACCATACTCAAGGGGCCGTGGAAGAATACCGTGAAGCAAGAAGAAAAGAAAAAAGATTGCATAAAAAGAAGAAAAGGGAATATGATAAAAAAGAACTGATTGAACTGGAGCATTTAAGAAGTTCAAATGAAATTAGAGCGTTTTATCAAAAACTAAACAACAGTCGAAAGGACTTTCAACCTAGAACAACCTTATGTACAGATAAAGAAGGCACGATATTGAGTAGCGATGAGGCAACACTGGAAAGATGGGCGCAATATTTTTAGGAATTATTAAATGGTAATGCCTCCGAACAAGTGGAAGGTGTGACCATAGACTGGAATCAAGGAAATTTTGAGGCTGAAGATTCAGCGCCGACCATAAAAGAAGTTGAACAAGCTATCAAAAAATTGAAAAATAATAAAGCTCCAGGAATGGATCTCATCATGGCAGAATTGGTGAAATTTTCAGGCCCAGAATATGCTAAGCACTTACATCAGCTAATAGTTAAGATATAGATAACTGAAATAATCCCAGAGGAATGGAACCTAAGTACTGTATGCCCTATCCATAAGAAAGGTGATGTCATGGTATGCTCTAACTATAGAGGAATTAGTCTGTTGTGCATAGCATATAAAATATTTTCCAACATTCTATTTAACAGACTCTCTCCCTTTGTGGAAGGCATAATTGGGGATTACCAATGTGGGTTTTGTCAAGGAAGATCAACTAAAGATCAGATTTTCACTATTTGCCAGGTCCTTGAAAAGTGTAATGAATTCCAAATTGAAACACATCATCTTTTCATTGACTTCCGATCAGCCTATGACTCCATAGATAGATAGTCCTTTTCTGGCAATGGAAGAGATGCACACTCCACAGGAGTTAATCGCCTTAGTCAGAGCCACTATGAGAAACACCCAGTGCCAAATTAAGATTCAGAATATGTTGTCCAGCCCTATAATAACTAGAAATGGAGTTTGACAAGGGGATTCCCTAGCCTGCCTTTTGTTCAATATAGCATTAGAGAAGGTAGTTAGAGATGCAGGCATCAACACAAGAGGAACTATATTCTACAAGTCAGTTCAAATTTTGGCATTTGGAGATGATATTGATATAAATGGTAGAGCACAAAAATCTATGAAAGAAGAGTTTGTTAATTTGGAAAGAGCAGCAAAAAAGATGAATCTTCAAATTAACCAAAATAAAACAATGTATATGCCGGTGGCTAAGAAAGACTGTGCTAATGGACCTGCATATATTGAAATCGGCTCATATAAATTTGAGGTTGTATGTAGTTTTACTTACCTTGGATCAGATGTTAACTGTAAAAATGACATCAGTGATGAAATATAAAAGCGTGTACTTGCGGCAAATAAATGTCTCCATGGCCTTAGGAAACACCTGAAATCCCATCTAATACCCAGGAAAACCAAAACTATGATGTATAAAGTACCTATAAGATCTGTGCTATCTTATGCCTCTGAGACCTGGCCACTGTCAAGATCGGATGAAAGACTTTTAAGTATATTTGAAAGGAGGATCTTTAGATAAATTTGAAGAAAATGGAATATGGAGGAAGAGGTATAACCATGAGCTATACAAACTATTTAATGAACCAGACATTATTGGATTTATAAAGGTGAAAAGGCTTGAATGGGCTGGACACATAATACGTGCTAGCGAGAATAGAATGATTAAGAAAATACTTAATACTAAACCATAAGGAAATAGGAAAGTGGGAAGACCAAGATTGAGATGGGAAGAATGTCTGTGGCAGGACATAAGAATTTTGGGTGTAAAGACCTGGAGGAATGTAGCATCGAATGGAGAAGAATGGCGAGCAATCCTGAGGAAGGCCAAGGCTCACAAAGGGCTGTCGTACCAGTGATGATGATGATGATGATGATGATGATGATGATGTAGTAGTATAACATAATCACAGTAAACTAGAGTTTCTTGAGATTATACAGACCTTCTTTTGGGTCAATGAGAAAGATTCTTAACATCTCATAATATTAACATGATATGCACGAAATATGAGAAGAAGAATTTTTTACTTCGTGTATATATTTCTAATTTCATTCGGCACAGTAAGGATAGCATTCATATACAGAAATAACATGCATGCAACTTTGTGCGTAAACGTTGACTCCCGCTTCACATCAAATCAAAATCCATATTTACCATTATGAATATAACATACCACCATAACTTCACAAACTGCACACAATTTATCCACCAACGGAACACATCAAATCAAAATTCATACTTATAGATTCCCACGAAACCCACCACCATAACCTAACACGTGAAACTCTTCGTTATTGGTGGGCAACATGGCTACCGTTCGTCACGAGTGCAACACTGCTGCCATCTCTACGCTTACTTTCAGTAACGAGATACAAATTGGCCGCCAGTGCCGATAGCGCAATCGGTAAGACGGTATGCTATCATACCACCGCTTTATATGTCCCCCCCCCCCGGACCCATAGTTCACAAGAATAGCAATAAATAATTTCGCAACCAAATCTCTTGTGCTTATTTATTTATTTATTTCATATCATATCCATGGATCATTGTACATGATATAGGACAAGTCAAATACTTTACAATACAATAAGTAATAATAATAATAGTAATAATAATAATAATAATAATAATAATAATAATAATAATAATAATACAATATATAACACAATGATATAATAGTATACAAAGATAATAAAATTATGATTCGAATGATATATATCCTGGGTGGTTATGGTTATGGAGAGTTTGATGGAATGAAGATTGGCAGGGGAAACCGAAGTACTCGGAGAAAACCTGCCCCAGTGCCACTTTGTCCATCACAAATCCCACTGGACCAGACCGCCTCGGTGGGAAGCCAGCGACTAACCGCTTAAGCTGTGGCACGGCCTTAGAGATAATATTGTCTGGTATGTTGCTTCACTGTAGTTTATGGTCCTGGTCTCTGTAGTGCTGGTGAAGCTTCTTGAAGTCTGCATATCTCCAGAGTAGCCTGTTCCGGTAAATCTCCACTGTGTTAGCTTGGTTGCTGGAAAAGGGAAAAGAAAACTGCGCAGTAGCGATTCCAAAACCAATTATTCATTACTTATGTGATTATAATTGATTAGAGCTAGTGCTTGCCCCATACAAGAGAAACTCATCCACTTTGTAGAAGCAATGATTAAGTAGGTAAGTTTTCAAAGCACTTCTGAACTTGAATAGTACTGGTATCTCTTTAATATGTAGTGGTAAATGATTTAGCAGTCGAATTCCTACATTGTTAAAGTTGTTCTTGTATAGACTTGTATTACATGGGACGATGTGTAAGTCGTCTTTTTTCCTTGTATTGTATGAGTGTAATCCTGAGTTGGTTGTGAAATCATTTAAATTGGATTTTATGTATATTAAAATTTCGTATATATACAAAGATGGTAAAGGTAATATATGTAATGATTTGAAAATTTGTTTACAACTAGTTGTTTTTGGGACCTGGGTCATAGCTCTTATAGCTCTCTTTTGTAATTTAAATATCAATTTTGCTTTTACTGAGTTACCCCAAAATATCAGTCCATATGATAGCAAAGATTGGAAATAAGCAAAATATAACGTGCGGACAGTCTCTAATCCAGTCACTCTTCTGACTACTCTTAGGCCAAAACATATTTTACATAAATTGTTTGCTAACTTTTGCGTATGTATAGTCCATCTCAGATGCTTATCTAGCCAGACTCCCAGAAATTTTGAGTGATCTGTGTAATTGATGACAGTGTCATAAATCTTTATTGAAGGGCATTCGAGTTGTAGTTTTTGAGGATGATGAAAGGCTATTGCTATTGTTTTTTCTTTGTTAATAGTTAATTGATTCCACTCAAACCACTCTGTGAGTTTGTTTATTGTTTCATTTGTTTTCCTTTGAATTTCGTTGGCGCTATTTCCTGTTATAAAAATGCTAGTATCATCAGCAAAGAACGTTGGTTTCCCATGCTCTATGACAGCCTCTAGGTCATTTATGTATAATAGAAACAACACTGGTCCCAGAACAGAACCTTGTGGGACGCCATGGCTAATGGGTCTCTTTCGGGATAGGTAATTACTGATTCGATTAGTTTGTTTACATCTGTATGTAATTTCTACTTCTTGCTCCCTGTTTTTTAAATATGTTTGGAACCACCTTAGTGTAACCCCTCGTATTCCCATTCTTGCCATTTTTCTTAGTAATATGTCATGGTCTACTAGGTCAAACGCTTTTGATAAATCTAAAAATAACCCTATACTTGCTTCTTTTTCATCTAGTGCTTTGTAGACAAAGTTCTTGCACCTTTACGTTTTTTTTATCTGTTTGGAACTGGGTTCAGAATCACTTCACTCGTATCTTTCGGAAGGGATATGAGTGAAGTGATATTAAACTTTGTTTAAAAAAAAACACAATGGAATAAACGCCTCTGCAGTACAAGGTGTTAGAGTTGCAAAATTGTTTATTGGGAGAAAGTTTCTCACATTAATTTAAGATTTCCTGCACTTAGCGTGCGAATTAATTAATTCGATTATTTTCGTGACTTGTTCGATAGTTTGCAACACTCGAATATTACTGCAGCTACCTTTTCTTCGGTTGTGCCTAACTTCAGTAGAAACATGCGAGCGGGAACGAGTGATGATAATATGATGCTGCAAGTCAGTGATGTATTTTGTAAGAGGTTACCGAAAGTGGTCAGTGTTGTATGTTTATATACAGTAAACGAAAGTTACCAATAAATAAATGCTGAAACAATAATTTAATTTAATGTAGTCAGCCATGTCGTAACTGAATTATACAGATGTTCTTGATAATTCTTCATTACAACCATGTTAATTGCTGTGCATAGTTGTGTCAATAATTATTTTGTTTTAGTACCGTTTAAAGAATAGGAACCGATTGTGCCTGCTTTTTGAAAACATAGTTCATATGCACGTAACATCTACCAACCGTTGGCGAAAAATAATTTGTGTGAAAGTTACCATTATTAACAAAAATAATGTCTATGTAGTCAGTCTTCACATTTTTTGTTGTTTAGATATGTATTTAATTCTTCTTAGTTCACAATTCATAATCGTAGTGTCAAATAGTAGGCTAGATAATGGGGGTTTGATCCCCTATGGCAGCAGGGACACTTCTCTGAACTTGCACCCTCCTAGCCTATCCAGCTGGTACCAGGAATTCTTTTCTGCAAAAGTGTAAAATGGCTGGGGCATGAAGCTCATCACTGACGTCCACCTACTGTCAAAGTTAAGAATGCATGGAGCTATACCTGCACTCCTCTATATTTAAGCACAGAAATATCTTCATGGCATGGTGCTTAATTAAGGAACTCTACCTTTTGCCCGATATCATTGACAAATCTGCCCAACTGCCCGGGAAGATTAGCAATCCTTGTTTTTCAGAATTACTGGATTTTGGACTTTGCCCATCATCTGGTATTCTGAAAACCAGAGAACATGTTTCGGAAACTGGATCTGTATCCATCCTCATGTGAGTGGAGATACCCTATTCAGTCCCTTACAAAGAGCTGGACCAGTGATTGAGGTTAGATCTATCTAAGGGACCCAACAAGGTAGATGTCACCCCCCTCACCTGAGGACAGACACAGATCCAGTTTCCAAAACATTGTTCTCTGGTTTTTAGAATACTGGATGATTGACAAAGTCTAAAAGCCTGGTAATTCTGAGAGTTATACACCATCGTTAGAACCCTTTTAAAATCCTTGTGCTGTTATATGCGTGAATAATGTTAATCTGCATGGACAAAAGTACAAAAACACTGAATTCACAATTTAATATTATTGTAAGGTAAAGTGAGCATTTTTTTTTCTTGGAATTTTTTAGGGACAGCCATTCTAAAGTCACTGGTGGGAGCTGGAGAAGGTAGTTTCCTTTTAAGTGGTACATAATACACCCTGTTTTTTATATATATATATATATATATGTGTGTGTGTTATTGGACAGTATCAATAAATTTAGGTCTGTGAAATGTAGCAATACATATATAATGAAAGTGATAGGATACAGTACATGAAAGTAGTGAACTAGCGTATGCACTTAAATATAATATGTAAGACATAATTATTTTGACAGTACCTTGATTATTTTGAAGAGGAGATCCTTGCAGTGGCATGGTATTTATCTGAAGAATTTATCGTCTTCAGTATTCCACGATTTGTTGCAAGTTTTTCACTAAATGCTTCACATAACAAGTTTTTATTCATTTTCACTCCCAAAATGACTTGTATTGTGTCCACATGAACTAACGACCTCTTCAGAACAGATATACTTGATACAGGAAAACACTTTTCAATGGGTGCATTGCTGCCAAGCAAGCACAATAAAAGTTTAGTAACCTCCTTCATGCTTCCATGTGGGGCATTTTTTTCTTTCAAATGCACACACATTTCAGACCATTTCTTACAGGGGGGATGGGAACTAAAATGTTCACTTTCTTTTTGCAATGGATAACTGCATAAATAAGTATATTCATCAAAAGAGGTTTAGCAAGGAATGCATTTTGTGCTTCTTTGCTTGGATATTTGTCATCGAAGTCCTCTCACCACTCGCTATAGAAAAAACGGAGCAACATGCAGTACATCTTATTACAGCAGTATTTTCTAAACCAGTTGTATAAATGGAAATTCAACTTTCAGTGAGTCACTGAATTTACACTTTTGCTTTGAAAGCATACATTACTGCAGGGGAGACCAGAAATTAGTTGTGTACAACACAACAGCTGCATCTTTTGCAGCTTGTATGGTGTGTTGTGTTGGACTCAGCTACCAGCATTATTTCCAAGATCCCCAATCTCAATCGGATAGAGGGCTGTGTTTACACACAGGGCTGGTATGGATTCGGTGCAAAGAGAAGAATTCCTGCCCCTATTTGTAACTGAACCTCAAATGCCCAGCCAAATTGAGTTAGTTACAATATGCTTCCCAGACTTTGGACTTCAGAATAAAAGATACCATCATTCATGTTCTGTTTTCAGGAGAGGGAGCTGACCAACTCTGTATCTGAAGCAGAAGATTCAGTATTCACATCAAAGCCAAGCACTGAAAAATTATCCTAAGCCATTTCATTGTAATGTTATATTTTAGCGTCCTGTTGCACTGATTTAAGTCCATGATTTATTTAAACCGTCTTGCAGTGCATACACTCATTTATTTCCTTCTCTCCCTCGCACTACATGTTTCGGCATAATAATGCCATCTTCAGGTGCTTACTTATCCACGCCAAACTAGTTCATTGCATGCCTTGTTCTCATATTAAAATAACTAAAATATGTATCTATCATATACATTGTCAAACGTTAAAAATATTAAAATTGTTCCTGAACAATAGATACATATTTTAGTTATTTTAATATGAGAACAAGGCATGCAATGAACTAGTTTGGCGTGGATAAGTAAGCACCTGAAGATGGCATTATTATGCCGAAACATGTAGTGCGAGGGAGAGAAGGAGATAAATGAGTGTATGCACTGCAAGATGGTTTAAATAAATCATGGACATTTCATTGTAATTCACATCCTGACAAATTTACCTGAGATTCCATTTAATGTTATTCTCCCCCATCCCTGTCATTTTTCCAAGTAGCTGTTGCCCTGGAGATTTTCCCACAAACATTCTGAATGTTTTTCTTGCTTCTCTCATTCTAGATAAATACCTTTGATGTAAGTACGAGGTCTGACAGTTTAATTCCTGGAATGGCCTCAGCGAGTCGCTGGGGTGTTGAGTCAGGCTAACTTATGTACCCAAGCACGTTTGGACATGTTCCAACTTGTGTCTACATGAGCCACAGACCAAATGAGTCATTTGTTCCCAAGCAGCAGAGAAAGAAGTACATGTCCTGTCCCTGCCTCCTTATCTAATGGGGGCTCTCTCCCTGGGGACAGAGTGGCTTGGATGTGAAGCTGACCACTCATCTTCATTTGCTACCTGGATTAAGAATGCATAGAGTTGTCCACTTACTCACCTATGTCTTTATGGTTTGGTGCTTAATTAAACACAAGAAGATTATGTTGTTATCCTTTTGATACACGTACAAGTTACTACGGCCTCCATACTGCAAGACATTGGGTTGTAATACTTCCCCAGGACAGTGGCATTGAAGAAGACTGATGATACTTTACGTGTAGGGCACCTGACAACTGATCATTAATATAAATCTATATTAAACACAGAAAGGAGCCAGTACAGGGAATTTGCTATGAGATATGCAGAGAATGATTTGTGGTAGGGAATTTTCTCTTTGCTGCCACATCCAAACTGGCTCTGCGTCCTACTCAGCCTCCTGTCCAGTGGGTTTGGAAGACCTTATCCTGGTGGTAAAGCAGCCAGGGCATGTAGATTATTATTCACCTTCATCTCATGCTGAGGTCAAGAATGTGTTGAGCATCTCTGCTCCCCAGTATGTCTTTATGGCTCAGTGCATAATCAGTCACAGAGAATGCCATCTTCATGCCATGGTGCTTGATTAATTGTAGGGAGAACTTTACCTTTAACAGCAAACATACACAAACCAGTAATCAATATTTTACTTTCCATTTATATTCACAGTTTCCACTTCTAATATCCGTTACAGGAGCTACATGCCCATCTTAACGGATCACTTAGTACTAAAACTCTGAGAGAACTCGCCAACTTACAGAAATCACTTTCAGGCAGTGATGATGCTGTTTGGAACATACAGGAAGCCATCATAGAGCATGGGCAGAAACGAACACTGGAAGAGTAAGATTGTTTCAAGACACCTGGTTATAGAATTAAATATGATTAACATGCATTGCATATTGTTTTTGCTTTAATTTGTGGTTATTCCATAGAATTTGGTTCCTGGTAGACTAATGGTTTAGATACAGTAGTTGCAAGCATTGTTCACAAAGTGAAAACAATTCTGTATTTCAGCATCCTGTTGCAAAACTTTAATTAAAACGTCTATGTATCCACAGTCCATCAATAATGCAACAATTGTTTATTCACCATTTAACACTTAACACAACATGTTTCAGCCACAGATGGCCATCTTCAGGTGTCTTAATGCGTCCAAACTGTTACGCTGCTCTGATGTGCGCTAAAACTGCGGGCTGCAGTCCACTTAAAAATAACATAAAAATAATTAATTAAAATCCATTAAAATTCCCATTAATTTTTCATTATTTTTGTAATTATTTTTAAGGGGACTGCAGCGCGCGGTTTTAGCACACATCAGAGCAGTGTAACAGTTTTGATACATTAAGACATCTGAAGATGGCCATCTATGGCCGAAACATGTTATGTTAACTGTTAAATTGTGAATAAACAATTGTTGCATTATTGACAGACTGTGGATACATAGACGTTTTAATTAAAAAACAATGTTAATTTAGTAATTTCCAAAGCTGGAATAGCTCAGTCAGTATAATGAACAGGCTATAGCCTGGAAGATAATAGAGTAAGAGTTCAATTGCTGGCAGAGACAGTGATTTCTCTCTTCCCCATGTGTTCACACCATATTTAGAGGTCTGCCCACCCTCTAATCTAATGGGTTTCATTTTACCACTTGATAGTCATGTAAAACCCAAACCAAAGGATCATAAAATCAATTTCCATTGTTGCAGCAGCTATCATATACACAAATATGCCACTGATATTCCTGTCCTTATCTCAAAATAATGAATCAGTGACATAGCTGTTGCACTCATACTTTGTTTTCAGGAGGAACTAGGTTTGAATATTGACTATTCTGATGAGGTTCCTCAGTCCCTCTAGGCAAATGCTCAGATACTTGGTTATAAGAAGGTTGTAACAGTTTCCACATTCCTCCCAATTCATCATTCGTGATTTGAGGCATTACAAACTATGCAGTTCATACAGCAATGTTAAATAAAGCAAGAAACAGCAACAATATTTACAAATAAAATTTGTGCCAGTCATGCAGTTTGTTATAGAGATATATATGATTCAAAACTGCAGAAGAATGTGGGAAATGTGTATGGGAATCTGACACAAGAAAGGCAGATTATACCCACATTAGTGTATTAGCAAAAGCTGCAATTTTAAACTGAACAAAAATAAGTCTCTTCCCAGACTTATTCCAAGCCTACTACATGAACAGCACGGTCAGTTACATCATTTGTTTACATAATTATATCCTACTGTCTTTAAAGAAGTATAAATGTAGCTTAACTTTATATGCAGAAGTTAGGTAAATAACAAGTATTTTTAATGCACTTGTGAATTATATTTCCACAGTCTTGACCAGTGCTCTCTTCAGCTTGTACACACCAGTATATATACCAGCAAACTTGTCAAAAGTCACATCTGACAGTGCATTGTATGTTACACCCTTGAGGCTGAAATAGTATGAAAGTATCTGTAAACATGTATTTTTAGGGAGAAGAAAGTAGGCACTGGGAATGACCAAAATTAAATGCTCATGCAGCAAGCTAAAATTAACGTTTCTGGTGTTCACTTACTATAACTGAAAAGTTAACTTCATAGCATAATTTCATAGCTTTTGGAAGTCAATGTTATCCTTCACTGAGTAATCATACATGCTCTTCATGTATAATTTTAATTACTGAAAAATTCTTACAGAATTGTAAGTCCATATGTGTAATCATATGTGCACCATTTTAGAAAATATTTTCAGAATTTTATTACTTCAACTTTCCTTATATGTAGAATTTCTTATAAAAAAAGGAATTATTTTTAAAACCTGGCATAAGAACTTTACTCTTTAGTGTCAATTATGTAAGACTGGTGTGTGAAGAGAAGAAAAGAGAATATAGAAGAAATTAAAAAGAAAAAAGTAAATGAATAAATAAAATAAAATGGGACTTACATATTGTACAATTGTACAATATTCACTTATTAAAAAAAAATGTTTTTGTTCTCTTATCCCCACGCTCCAAAATGAAATACAGCAACTCCTGATTATCCAACATCCAAGCATTGAGATTTCTCATCCAACTGGCCAATTTGTGATGCACCTATGTTCACCCATTACATGGTAGTTCTTCCAACTTCCACTAGAAGTGCTACCCATAGTCCTTCCTCATGCAAGTGATATTACAGGCAAGGCTAGTCGAATTTGTGAATGTGTGTATGCAAATTCTTTCATATATCAATCCATTACATTTAAGAAGTCTCCAGGCAAGAAGTGAAAACTTTGTTGTGTTGGCTTTGTATTGGACTTCTCATTCAACTGTTGCAACCCATTTCCCACGCGTGGCGAATAACTAGGAGTTTAGTGCACTAAGTTCATTGATTGATTCTTGGTTTACTTAAAGACATTATTCCATTGGCACAGATAAATGCACCTAGTGTCAAATGATGAGGGAACTGTGAATCATAAACTGGAAAAGATGTGAATGAAAGTAGTCAACAATTTAAGGTATTAAAACTGCAACTACCTGGAGGAACTGAGGGTGACCAGGAAAACCCTTGGCCATGATATCCTGTCTCCAGGCAGATATTCAAACCCTGAGCCTTCTGAAAAGGAGACACTATAGTGTAACATTTGGTAAAATTATTGGTATGACATTGGACACTTTTTTTTTTTGCTTATTGTCTTATATCAGTCACTTCTAAACAACTGCATTTTGTTTTATTATGATATGCCAAGTATTTAATTTTTCATAATCATTATATTCGGAATGAAATGTACTGTTGTCAACTGAACTGTTGTGCGACTGAACAGGACTCTTTTTACATACTGCACTTACATTTGTTCAGATGTTTTCAACTGTTTGGTATTGCACACTCACTGACAACTACACCTGCTGCTGTCTACAAGGCAACACAAGATGTCATCAAGGAATTTGCAGATGATGGTGTTCTCTATCTTGAACTTCGAAGTACGCCACGCAGTGTACCAGGAGTTATGTCTAAGGCTCAGTACATACAAGCAATGGTGGATGCTATTCAGTAAGACAGCAATGTTTTTGTCCTCTTGCTTTAAAATTTTATATTATGCTCATTCAGGTTTCCAAAGTTATCACATTTATTTTCTTAACCACTTTTGCCTTAAAAATACTGGCAGAACTCACACCTGATAGAAAATACTGGAAGCATAAAAATGAGGAAGGGGCATTTATTTATATGATACTTAAAATAAAATCAAAACTGAGAACTTTATGCTGGCATTCACAATTAAATCTGCCATTAGAGAAATTCATATGCAAAATCCCAGGAAATGAAAACTTTGTGTAGCATTAATACTCTATAGACTTGTGCAGGGTATTTTTTAATGAACTTCACGCAGTCACGGCCGTACGCTTCACTGCGACCGGTGCACCACTGGCTGCAAAACATGTGAATTTTACCTATGACTAAGCATGCCGATAACATATGGAATGAAGAGAAGTTCTTACCTTTGTTCACAGATCACAGGAGGTGTTGAAAACACTGTCCCTCTACACATGAATATCTTTCGAAATTAATTGTTTCGTTAAAAAACACACGTACAACATTCCTTCTTGCACTTTCAGCACACCAGGCACCAACTTTCACTGGATGGCTTCAGCAATTGTGTTGCCATTCTTGCACTAGACTTTGACTTTTGAGCTAGACGTTTCAGTGATTTTCTAGGTGTATGTTACAAGTCTTATCCCTGTGTCATCTAACTTCTCCTCAGTAAGCACTCAATGCTTATGTTTGTTTTCTTATCTATTAAAGAGTCCCCGTTGTTCTAAGTTTATTCACCAAATTATGAATTGTCTACTGGGAACTCTTTCATCACAAAATTTAAGTGGAAAGTTCTGCCGACACTTTCCAACATATCCGTATTTCATGTAGGTGTCATACAGAAATACGTGTTCTAAAGTATAGCAGACAATGTTGTGCCACAATGCTGACTGTTAACTGGGAACAAATGGATCATGGCACTGATAACTACTGCCTACTGCCCACTGTGTAACATAATACTGCGTAGAGGTCTAAAAGTTATTTTCCTCTATTCCAAACATTATCGGCTATAAAGCATACTGAGTCAGTGACAAAAATTGCATGCGTTTTGCGGCCAGTGATGCACCAGTAGCAGTGAAGTGAAAAGCCATGAACGCATCTAGTTACTAAAAATATTCCCTGTATTTGAATCTTGAATAGACTAACTAATTCTGAAGTTTTCTTCAGTCGATCCAGTCAAATGCTAGGACTGTACCTTGAAAAGACCATGGCTACCTCCTTCCAAATCCTTACCTGCTCACCACTCTTAATCATTACTCCATCTCATTCTTGATTTACAGAACTATTAGCTGTCTAGGTTATGCAGTGTTTAATGACAGGATAGTTTTTGAATCAGCTGGAAAGGATATCAAATACTGATGTGGCCTCTTGTAAGGTACTATCCCACTTTCTAGAGAGCCTTGAGGAAGATGCAAAAGACTATTACATATACTTGGGCTGAGGTTTGGGTCTGGGGCCTCAAAATTAAGAGACAAAATTAAATAATTTTAAGTTGCAGTTCTCTTACAGAATTAATTTAGCCATACACAGAATCTTTATCCCAGCCCTTTCAGTCCCTTGATCATAACCCCTAGGATGTACGAGTATCAATGTATAACATTGTAGATGTTCAATGAGCATAAAATTATCTGTAACCTGGTGGATACTTTAATGAATTTGCTTATACTGTAATGTTTTGGTTTCCTGAAAATGACAAAACATACTTTTCATATTAGTATTACTTCCACTCTAGAAATAGTGGAACTTCATTCTTAATTGGTAGCATACCCATATACAGTATTTCACTTCACAAAGGGATTATCAAGAATCAGTTTATAAACTTTATGATACATTGNTCTGTCCACAAAAATGCATAAAGCTTCTGCACAAAACGTTTCTGCAGTATAAATGCATGCTGCTGACACACTGTCTATATTTTATCTGGCAAGAGGAGAGGAAGTTTATGTTTTCATTGCACATTCTCCAGTCACTTGGCTTACTGTATACACGAGTGTGGGCGAGTTCTTATCCTACTTTTATCCTTACAAAACTCTGTCTGTTTATATGTCGGACTAAACACACAGAGGTACTGTTCTTGGAATATCCCTTGAATGCCCCTTGCGTCCTCGTCCCTTCAGAATCGACTGTACCGCATTCTGAATGGTGTAATTTACGAGCAGCCTCTCAATTTCGGCTTCTTCCATGCGAAATGGGGCCATGGTGCATAGTTGAAATTGCGATGTTTTATAAGCGTTACAAATAGAGGAGACCACTCGCCATCATTGGCCTACTTCCTGCTAATACGAGACTGATGTTGCATGTGTGCGCTTCGCGTGGAAAACAGAGTTACATACGGACAAAGTGCATGAATTGTGACGTCGGACCCTGCATTCAGTTACATGCAACATTCAGTTAGATGATGCGGGATGGAAGACAGTCTACTTATAAAGCTGGTGTCCAAAAATAGTGTAAGTAGAACAAGAATTTCTATCTTAAAATTAGATTTTAAAACACTGTGCGCACGCGTGGACTGCAAGTCACCATACGGTGTTGTTCGGCCATGCGGCTTTACTTTAAAGGTCCCCATATGGTGTCTTTCAGCTCATAAAGTTTAAGGGGATATATGAACCCATTATAACACTAACTAAATGACTTCATGGGAGCTGACTCCTTGAGAAGCCACCAGCTGCTCAGCTACTGAAGAATTTCCAAACATTTTATGGAACCCAAATATTCATTACCATGTTCACAAGAGCCCTCCACCAGTTCGCATCCTGAGACAGATGAATCCAGTCCATACCACCTCATCCTATTTCTCTAAGATCCATTTTAATATTATCCTATCACCTACATAAATGTCTTCCTAGTGGTCTCTTTCTTTCTGGCTTTCCCACCCAAATCCTATATGCAGTCTTCTCCCCAATGCATGCTACATACCTTGCCTATCTCATCCACCTTGATTCGATCATTGACCCATTATAACACAGGCCTCAAAATATAGTCCTGTTCTAAAGCATATATACTGTTCAGCTGCTGTGTAGTTTACTGTTCCTGGAAGATAAAAGCATGATTATTTTTTTTCTACAGAAATTCCACTGATGGTCAAATCCTTGTAAAATTGATGGTGTCATTAGACCGCCAGCAAGGACAAGAATCTGCAAGTGAAACACTTGATGCTGTTCTAACTGCACATTCCCAGAATCCTAAACTTATTGTAGGACTAGATCTGAGTGGAGATCCAATGAAAGGGTCACTGACAGATTATCTGCCAAGCTTGGCTCATGCTAGGAATGCTGGACTCAAGATTTCCATTCACTGTGCAGAGGTTGGTATTTGTGGCCATAGTATCACTTCACATACAAGAAACTATTATAAAGGAAACAATGTTTATGAACATGCCACTTCACTCCTGTTATGTGAAGTTTAAGTGTTTGGAGGAGATTAATATGTAATCCAGCTTCACCCATTACAATTGCTTTCTGGATACAGTTACTCAGACGTTCAGGCATTATGAAAACTAAAGGTGAAAATATTGAAGGTAGGAGGTATTGGACTTATCACCACTAAACAAATCTAATATATTTGTTGGGATTACCTAACACAGTGATACTCACTGCATGTGGCCCAACTTTTACTTTCATGCAACCCTCAAAATGTGTAATTCAATTCAGTAAAATCTTGTTCCACTTGGGGGATGTAAGGTGAGGTAAAGCTGTCCCAGTGCTTAATTAATTAAGCAACATGCCATAAAAATGTGTGGAATATAGCTTCACCATTCTTGACCTCTGCACTAGATGGAGGTGTGTGGTCACCATCATGCCCCAGCTACTTTGCCCTCAGGGAAAGAGCCTGCTTAGGAGGCTGCTGGGTGGGTCCCAGAGCTGGTCTGGATGCTGTGGAGAAGATAAAAATGGCTTGCCCCTGCCAGGAATCAAACCTGGGCCATGCAGCCTGTAGCTGGAGCTATCCCGGTGCTTAATTGGGTGATATGGCACTTTCAGTTTCAAGTAGAATTTCTGTCTAGAAGCTGTCAATGCCATCTGGTCATTTATTATGGGATGAGAAAGAGACTGTCAGATACAGAATTTACCAGAAAATGCAAGTTTGGTCAGCAAAACCTTTCAGTATGGTCTTGCAGTAAAATAACTGTTTCACATTTTGAATAAACATCCCTCAATGAGGAGATATTCAGAAAACTGAAATACATTAAACATAAACACGGGTCGAGACACACCCACATATATATTTAGATAATTTTCTTTGACTTGTTTCAAAGAACCAGCAAATATAGACAATATATTTTTTTTTAATTCTGACCATCAGTGTAAAATATGACTAAAGTTCTGTGCAGTAGGTGAAGTTACCGTCTTAAAAAACATTAAATGTTGCATAATCATATTTTATTAAATACATGAATAAAATCTTCAATCCATAATAACCTCAAATTTAGTTGATTCTATGAATTTTATTGCATTCTTCAATGGGAATTTCAGTACTCATATGCAATGGCCTGAAACAGGGCACTGAAAATGTATACATGGCCCTAACTTGATTTCTGACGAGTAGTATTGACCTAACTCCATGTTCAGACCTGCTGTGGTCTATATCAGAAGTCCTCAATTGAATAGGCTTCCGCAAATTAACTTTGAGAAAGACACAACACTGATACCGAATTCTACACTTATTTTACTCAAATGTCAATTTGATAATAATTTGAAAACCTGTAATCACTAAATTTCATTATGTAACTTTGAGGCTGGACATAATAAAAATTCCCAATTTTGCCCCCATCAGAACTGGAGATTTGAGATATTCCCAGTTATCCACATGAGGATTATTTGGTTTGTGAACTGTCCATGCACCTACTTTATTTAAATTATTGTTCTGATTTGTTTAAAGAAAAGCATGTGGTCATATACACAAGTATGGTAAATAAAGCATTCCTCTCTCCTGTCCTTCACATTACACGTTTCTACCAAACTATTTCTGACATCATTTACACACTAAACCTTGCTGTGGAATATAGAAAATTAGAGGAGAAAATAAAGAGACTTGATACTATACTGCTACTATTGTATTTATAATTGATGAAATGACCCTCATACCACTAGCCCAGATAGTCTAGGATGCAACATGTGTGTGTGTGAATTAAAGTAAGATAATTTTGGGGGGATTATCAAGGTTATTTTATAGACTGTCCACATTCCCTCCTTCAGCTCAGCTAAACTGAAATGTTGAAGTTGATCTGTTCCAGTGTCAAGAACTAATCATTTAATATTCTCTGAAAAACACAATCTTAATTTGATTCCAGATACCGAATCCAGATGAGGTGGAAAAGATTTTGGACTTCCACCCTGATCGTTTAGGTCACTGTACCTGCATTCATCCACTGTATGGCGGATCTCAGGAATTATGGATTAAACTCTTGAACTCTCACATTCCTGTTGGTAAGTACAAAATGTGTTACTTGTATGACAACTGGTGTGGAAATTTGAAATGCTATGAAAGTTATTGAACAGTTTTGTGTTCTCTACACACTGTACATGAATGTATAATGGTAAGATTTCTGTATCTCCAGATTCTGATGAAATTTGGTAGTGTCACAAATTTAATTTTGGCCCATTTCAGTGCAATATAACCACCATCTTCATCACAGCTGAAATCAGGATTTGTTTTTCCTCAGAAATGGGTAATCCTTCGCAAAAACAAATAACATAGAGCTCACTGAGATTCACAGCTTTTAGTTCAAACATTTTAACATGATGTGTAACTAATCAAATACAAGGAAAAGCAATTGATCCTGGCCTTCATGAATGGAGGCACAAGCAGTTAAACCTTAAAAGACAACATATCAGTATTAACCAGCATGGTTCCCAATGACATAACATTCGTACCATTTTGTGTCAATAGGTCAGCACGGAAACAGACCACACTGACAGCATGTGATCTCTTATGCCCTACTTTATTCCTTAAGAAAAGAAATGGGTATGTTGATTCATGCAATTCATTATAATATTTAATTGCACAACAATTATCTGAAGTGTAAAGTGATGAGAATCTCATCTAAGGCAGACTTAGAAAATGAGATGTCAGCACTGTTCAGAATTTATCTTCCATGTTTGAGATAGCCAGGTGTTTTCTTCATAATACTGTACTTACAATAAAAGTCTTATTAATTCATAGTATCACCAGTATGAAATTCATTGGTGCCCTCAACCTGGAAGATACATTTTCATATGTTTACACTGTAAGAATCATTAAAGTTTTGCTAACATATAATATGAAATATTTTTTAGATCTGCTAGTGACAGACCATGGTTAATTTATAATTCATCTCACAGAATAAGGGTCATGTGGAACAGATGTGTTAATGGAAAATAAAGAGAACTATAAAAGGAATAGTTGAACCCCTGCTAACATGTGCCATTAACCCAGAAAACAGTCAACCTGAATACAGAGTTACTTTGTCTCTTGAGGAGAGACTTTTCAGATGCAGTCAAATGTGACACAGTTCTATCATTGTCTTTGTTATGATACAGTCCTGTTTGTTATCCTTTTCTAGCCTTGTATGTTGTTCACTGTAACACAACTAAAATGCCGAGCAGATAAAACCTACCATTGAAAATTTGATAATTCAGACT